AGGGCTCATATTACCCAGACCACTTGGTATTATGAGAACTTTAAATTAGGTCAAAAAAATAACATTAATTAAATAAAAAAATACCAACCTGACAATTAGAACTGAATTTTAGAATATAATGATTCGTTATTAACAAAACTTACCTTTAAAAGATCAAATTTAAACCACTTTTGTTGAAACAATGCTACTATTTTTTCCGCAAAAAAGAATTAATTCGTTCTTTTTTCAAATTTATTAACTCAAACTTTTAAACGATAAAAATTCAAATTTTTTGAATTTAAATTACAGAAAACGATTTAATATAATTAAAATAATAAAAAATTTTACTATGTTTTGTTTTTATTCAAAAAGTAATTAAAAGCACTTTAGGAATTTAAACGAGGTAATTTCAATGAAAACACTGGATAATTTGAGCATGCTCATATTACACAAAAATGGCATCTTTAAATAAAGTGAAAACTAAATGTTTCTATGCCTTGTTTTTCAAGCAAAAATAGATTGGATTTTAACCAGTGCTGTTAAATGGCGTAAATATTCTCGCTTCCACTTTTTTTCCACAATAGACTGCGGCTACCTTCCTCGTCTCAATTATTTTTGAGCGGAGAAATTATTTTTATTCCGCCTTTAGTGGCCTCTGTATTTTATTTGGGGGCCGCAGTCAGAATTTTTTTTTCGAGGCAAAATGTTTTGGAGACTGACGCCAATAGAGGCGGCAGCCAATGGTGGCCGCCTCCAGAAGAAATTTCGGACGCAAAACCATTTGGAGGCCGCCTTCAATAACTTCTGCCTCCCAGCTGGTTGTGACCGCCAAATTGGAGATGCCTCCCGCCGGATAATGTAATGAAAAATAATTACACATTTGTCTTTAAGTTAACGAGCAATTAAAGTATTAACTGAGAACAAATCTTAAATATTTGATATCAAAGTTTTGTTTTATATGATTTATTGACTACTTAAAAGTTTTTTTGAAAAAAACTATAGTTTTGTCACAGTGGTTGTTTTTTCTAAGACTATCGAATAAGTTTTAAACTTTTGAACGTTTTAAACTTTTAATAGCTTTAAACTTTAAAACGTGTAAAAGTAAATGAGTCTATATGAATTTGGCAAAACTATTAGCGTAATACAGCATGGTCGCAAATTTTTAACAAAAACATTAGCAGATATTTTTTCAATAATTTTTACAATATCCAATTATTAAAAATAAAGCATTTAAAGTAATGGCAAATTTTAGCATGTCAACTTGTTCTAAAAAATCTTTGACAAAAATCAGTCATTAATTACTTACATTTTTTTTTTTGTTTGTCAAAAAGAATCTTTCGCCGATGGCGAATTTTTAACTTTCAAAACAAAAATTAATAACTTTTAACTTTTGATGATAAAAAATTTATTCTACTTAATTTATAAGTTTGAAAAAAATTAGAGTTTTTAAATACTCAAAACTTTTGAAAATATTCACATAAAATGAAACTTGATGTCAAATATTTAACATTTGTGTCTAGTTAATATTTAATTGCTTTAAAGCAAGCGAGCAGTTATTTTTCATTACATCCGGCGGCGGGAGGCATATATTGCCGCCTTTAATTTGGCGTCCGTAGCCCGTTGGGAGGCAGAAGCCATTGGAAGCGGCCTCTGCCTCCCTAATGGCGTCCTTTCCCTAATGGCCTTCCATTCGGCAGAAGGCTACTTTGCCGCCGGGCGGCATTATCAACTCTGATTTTAACAACGCAAAAAATTTAACAGCGTTTTAATTAGGTGATAGCCGCTAATTACTGCATATAAATTTATACTAATTGTACTGATTCCTGTTATCATCACATAAAGACGATTTGAATAATACAAAGCTACTTTAACTTCACTGCTTACATCTAGCAAATCCTTAAGTATGCTCATATTACTAAGGTGCTCATATTACCCTAATCTACCCTATATAAACTGAGTTTATTTAAAATAAATTTATTATAATAAAAAATTCAAATTAGAACTTACTAGATTTTTTTTTTACAAACAGATTTACACGAAATGTTTGCGAAGAGTTTAAATGTAATGATTTCAATGGAACTTCAACTTTACCCAATGTTTCGCATTTTGTCAAACGCACGTGGTTTAGTACTTTTATTTTTAGTGTCTATATGTTTTTATCTTTTTCAGAAATATTAAGAAAATTTAATTTTTCATCAAAATAAATATTTTTTTTGCCTCTTTGATATTTTGTATTGTGTACCTGTAATTTGCCGGGTAAAAGATAAGCTAATATAAATGGATTCACTTCATTAGCTGGTTTCTGAGAGACTAAATCTATCAATCTCAATATATGTATTATTATGGTTTTGCTATCTTCTAAATACTTCGACCTGAAAGTTAAATGACCTGTTACTTGGTACAATTCATTTGAAATAGAATCACTTTTTGTAAGGTTCCAACTAACTTATTTTTTAGGTTTTTGTGACGCAGTGGAGCTTTTAATTGAATTTGTTTCTTTTTCTTGAGTTGATTCACTTTGATCTTTAAAACTACTCTTGGGGTTTCTGATGTTTGGTAGTTCAATTCTGTTAAATGTTTAAAATATTAGTACTAATAAAAGTTTGCATTTGTATGTATGTATGTATGTATGTATGTATGTATGTATGTATGTATGTATGTATGTATGTATGTATGTATGTATGTATGTATGTATGTATGTATGTATGTATGTATGTATGTATGTATGTATGTATGTATGTATGTATGTATGTATGTATGTATGTTTGTATGTATGTATGTATGTTTGTTTGTATGTATGTATGTATGTATGTATGTATGTATGTATGTATGTATGTATGTATGTATGTATGTATGTATGTATGTATGTATGTATGTATGTATGTATGTATGTATGTATGTATGTATGTATGAACGTATGTATGTATGTATGTATGTATGTATGTATGTATGTATGTATGTATGTATGTATGTATGTATGTATGTATGTATGTATGTATGTATGTATGTATGTGTGTATGTATGTATGTATGTATGTATGTATGTATGTATGTATGTATTTACCTATCTATCTATTTGTGTACATAGCTACCCTTACGGAAATATTCCATGGAAAACCCATGGAATTCCATGAGTAAACCATGGTTTTCCCATGGAAAACGGGAATTCTATGGAATTTCCATGGGTAAATTTCATGAAAATTGAAATCCTATAGAATTTCTATGGGTGAACCATGTTTTTTTTTTCATAGCTTAAGCTGCGCCATGGTTGTTACAAATGCGCTTTTAAAGATGGCGTCATAGCTCGTAGAGTTATGATTATTTTTAACTTTAGAAAACAATACTTACTGCATTCTTCTGTTTTTCTGTGTTTAATAAGGCTATGAATTATATGTTTTTTATAATGCATTACATTTATATGATTTAAACTAAACATACAGACATAAACAACTAGATATATTTATCATATTATAATGCATTATAAAATGGATTACTTTTAATTATATTTAATTATATATCATTTATGCATATACTTATTTTAACTGTTTCCAGTAGCTTTGCTTACTTTGCATAACTTGCAATAGTATAGCAAGTATGTCAAGTAAACCAGTTTGAATTTTAATGCCTACTTGGCAAATTATTTGCCAAATAATTATTATTTGGTTTACAACAAATAAATGTTTAGTTTTAATCTACATTAAATAACTAGTGTATTAATGTACATAGTGTAATTTAATGTACATTCAAACTAGTATAATTATTATTATAAAACTTATCAAACGTATTAAAGAAACTTATCTAAAATATTATTATACAAGCAGTATATTAGATAAGATTAGATAACTAAGATAATAAGATTAGATAACTAATGTACAAAAGATAACTAGTGTGATCTTTTTTATTTTTTTTTATAATAGCCTTAGATTACATAAAAATGCTTGAAGTTTATTGTATCGTAAATGTTCATTAAGTATTAAAAAACATTTTTTTATGATAAATGTTCTATTCAATTTTAGTTCTGTTAAGTTGTTTTTGTCTTTTTGTTGTAGTTTTTTCTTTAGAATTATTAGAATATGTAAATAATGTAATATAAATAATGTTTATAAATTCTTTTATATTTACTTTATTATTTTATTTAAATTACTACATTATAAGCCAACAGGTTTGACTGGCAATATAAATAATGTTGTTCATCGTTTATATTGTTTATAACATCGTCAGTTTTTATATGCATTTAATATTTTTAAAAATAGTTCAAAAGCTGTCAAAATAAAATGGTGAATTGAGTTTAATCCAGAAAAGATATAAACATAATCTTTGGGATTCAACTTGTGTGGATGTTCCAAGAACCACTTAGTTGGAGAAGGAAAACTGTGGTAATATTTTATAAGTATCAGTAAGGGAATTTACTTAATGCACAAGATTTTACTTCATAGTTAAATATAAGCATATAAAAGCAATGTTTATAAATAATACACTATTATTTATTATAATACAATTATTTTTATTTGTTTATATTTAACTGATGTAAAGTGCTCGTCTTTAGTTAAAATAAATTAATTTATGCACACACTTTGATATTTACTATGCTTTTACATTACTATACTTTATAAATTACATATTTGTTATGTTTTAAATAGTGAAGTAAAAATATAATAAATTTTTGAATTTAATGGTATGTGCGTAAGTTCTTTTATTTTAACTTTATCATTTTATTTAAATTACTGCATTATAAGCAGGTAAGTTTGACTGACAATATAAATAATGTTGTACATCATGCAGACAGCTCAGACAAAGAAGTAAGTTTTTACTTAAAATTACAATTTATAAGTTATACTATATTTGTTGCTGCCTTATTCTATATAAATGTTACTAACATGCAGGTAAAATTTATATATGTGTATAAATCTTTTCATTTTAACCTTATCATTTCATTTAAATATAAATTTTTAATTTATTTATTTAGCCGTTCATTAACAAGTCCTGTGCTTTATAATATATTAAAAAATGGAAGGACGTGAAGAAAACAGGTTTGTAAATGATGTTGTACATCATGCAGATAGCTCAGAAGAAGAAGTAAGTTTTTTTTTAATTACAAAAGTAAATATATAATATAATATTTGTTGCTGCCTTGTTCTATATAAATGTTTCTAACATGCAGGTAACATTTATATATGTATTAGTTTGAATAAATCATTTTAATAAAGTTACGTTATAGGCAGGAATGTTTGACTGGAAATATAAACGATGTTGTACATAATGCAGATAGCTTAGGCAAAAAAGAGGTAACAATCTAATAATTTGTATTTATAAATAATGATATATTCATTGCTACTTTTTTCTATATGTTACCTAACATTTGGCAACATTCATAATTGTGTATAATGCCTAATTACAAAGTAAGTTATAATAGATAATAATTATAAGTAAAATGAATTAGTAAATAAAGAAAACTAGTTAGAATGTATATAATAGTTGTATGATGTATTGTCTAGATTGGTAAAATGGAGAATGAGACTAACTAGGGTGAAAAAAAATGAATATTAATATGTGAATGGTACTTTGTTTAACATCTACCTGTTTCTACAGATACAGTACAGACGCATTTATAAATGGGCTTGATGTTTTTTTGAATTAAATATGTTGTATTGATGGTTCTTTTTAACTTGTTAAAACTTGAAGTTATTATCAAATTTATATATACTATTTTTATCAAATAGTTAATATAAAATAATAAACATGTAAATTGTTTTATTTTCTGTAAAAATTGTTTTCTTGATAAATTTCAATTGTTTATCACTATATATATATCACTTATAGTATTATATTACTTGTAATTTTTTGTTTTATTTATTTTCAGTATGTTATACATATGCGTGCATTAAATATTGTGGGAAGTCAAGTTTTGATGTTTTAGGTGCATTATAGCTATTATTTTTCAAAGATTTGTAGGATTTAACAAGATTTAAATTTTATTTTGTTTATTGATTTTATTTGGAGAAAGCGATCTCAGATTAAGAGAACTCAATAATAGTGGGATAAAATTTGCTTTTATGATTTAATATGACAATTCAAATAATATTAGATAAAAAAACTTGAAAACAAATCATGCTTTTTTACCATGAAAAATCCATAAGTTTTCCTTGGAAAGGTGTTCCTAATACCTATGGAAATTCCATGGTTTTTCCATGGATGGAAAATCATTGAATATCCATGGTATTTGGAACACTTTTCCATGAAAAACTTAAAGATTTTTCATGGGAAATTCATGTGTTTCCCATGAAAACTCATGGTTTTTCCATGGAAAACTCATGGTTTTTCCATGGAAAACTCATGGTTTTTCCATGGAAAACTCATGGTTTTTCCATGGAAAACTCATGGTTTTTCCATTGAAAACTCATGGTTTTTCCATGGAAAACTCATGGCTTTTTCATGGGAACTTGTTCCAAATACCCATGGTTTTTCCATGGGTTTTTTTTCTAAAATTCCCATGGGAAATTTTCGTACGGGTATGTATGTATTTGTGTATATATGTATGTATCTATCAATGTATCTTCCTATCTTTGTATGTATTAATCTATGTTTATATTTCATTTAAATCTTTTATAAACGATTTTTAATTTTAAATAGTTCTTCAAATCATCTGGAATGTTTAATTGCAGGTTTTTCCTTTTCTTCAAACTAAAATTGACTTTTGTAAACATCTAAAACAGTAAATCTTCTTTTTTGTACGCTTTCCTGAAACAAAGATTTATTCGTAAAAAATGAGGCTGTATTAGTTAAACTTTATTGTGAAAGTAAACAATTTGATTTTAAAATCAAACACGTCCATCTGGTTAATTAAATAACAAGTTAAAATAAATCCAACTAAAATTGTACATCTTTTTATTATGTTATTTGATAATTACTAATTTTATCAATTATTTATTCATTAAAAAGCCCGCAGGTAAGCGGGTAGGGGCAGAAACGTACGGATGCGTACATAGGGTGGGGGAGGGTAAAGTGTGGGGATTGGTGAAGAAGACGTGTAAGTGCGCGGTTTGGCTATCTCTCGTTCTCTATTTGTCCTAAAACTTGATTTCCTTTTTTTTTTCTTAAAAATAAAAAAATAGAATTTTACGAGTTTTAAAAATCAATATTGTGTTATGTAACATACATACATACATAATTGCCTAATAGTGTTTTGGCATTTAATATTTACATATTTAAAGTTTATGTGATGGGGAGGATAATGTAATAAAGCATGTTGAAAGCATACTGTTGCGCACAAGGGGAGAGTGGTGGTGGAGGGTGTTTTTAAACGAGTTCTTTTACTGCGTACGTGCTTTATGAAGTTCTCAAAATTATGAAACTATTTTAAAACATACTTGTACAGATTTCCAAAAATTGTGGTAAATTGTAATGCTATGAAACTTAATATCAAATTGTCAGTGTTATACTCTATCCATCACGCTATTGTGATGTCAGAGTGTCACGCTTACGTCATACTACACACAATGGTGTCAAGTTATTGGTCAGTTTAAAGAATTTTATTCGATTTTTACTAAAAGTAGCATAAAATATTAGTCCCTTCTAAAATATTAAAATGACTCTGTGTCTTAGGAGTAGCTAAGATATAATAATGATATAAAAATACAAAGTCTGATGACGTCACGGAAAGCTAAGTTATTCTAATTTTTTACACTAATGTTTATGTTACACTATATGTTAAAAATTTTCACAGCGAATGTTACGACACGTTGCATTAGATGTTGTAACAAGCTAATAAAGGTTTAACTTGAAATTAAAAAAAACTATTAAAGTTGATTTTTTAATGAACTCGGCCCAGAAACACCTTGCTTATAATCACCAGCTTAATATAACTACTACTAACTCTTTTCTATATAATGTTATTATGCCTCAAATAACTATGTTTATTGTTATATTTTATTGTTCTTATTATTTTTATTGTTATTATTGTAATAATAATAATAGCAATAATAACAATAATGATAATAACAACAACAATAATAATAATATCAACGGAAAATAAATGTCTTCTAGTTGTTGTTCTTGTTAAAATTTTAATTTGACTAGCTAAAAATTTGAATTTGTCATTAATTGTCTTGTCATTTTAAAGGGATCGTTTTGACTTTAATCAATTTTTATATCTACCCGTATGTCATCGTGTCATTTAAATACTAACCTAATAGGAATAAAAAGTTAATATGTTATTTCGACATTCTAATGTTATTTTTGTTCAAAAATCTTTAAGAATTTTTAAGATTGTTTTAAACTCTTTTTTGTTTGTTTAAAATTGCAGTAACAAATTAAATCTTTACCAAAATATTTCCATGATTTCCAAATTTTGATGTTATAAATGGTTGTTGAATCTTGACTGTTCTAACAGATATGGGACTTTCGAATAGCTTGATATCGATGGAATTTGTTTTAGTTGGTAATAAATTTTGTTTTAAAGTTTCAATACACTTTTTTACATATTTTCAGAGAAAAAAAGCTGCAATGAAAACTACGATTGCAAGAATGATTCCAGATACAATTAAGACAACTAAATAAGGAAAAATACTTTAAAAAAATTAGAGTTAATTATCAAGCCTAAAATAAAAAGTGTTTACAGAGATAAAATCGTAAAATTTTGCTCACAATTATGAAAATAAATCTTAATCGTAACCGTAATAAATATTGAAAAATAAAAGTAAAAAAAAAAAAAAATCAAACTATAAATGAAAACCACAAAAATTTTTAAATTCTTTGACCGTAATTAAATTTTTTGTTAATATTACAGAGTCGACAGTCGACTCTCGATATCTTGAACTTTAAGAAGATCGGGAGGCATTGAGAGTTCGAAATATCAAGAAAAGGGTTAAAAATAAGTAAAATTGCCCAACTTTAACTAAAAAAGCTTTATTTTTCTGTATAAATAAAACTACTAACAACAAAAGCTACAATTTAAAAAAAAAAGTCTTTCCTGGCTTCAAATTATCTTTCGCATCTTTATTTCATCTTCAAGTTTCAGTGCTTGGTAAAGTACAATTTAATGTACAATTTACATTTGTATTTTGGGCTGTATAGCGAGGTATTTTAAAGTTGTTCCGAGGCATATTTTAATTTAATATTAGATGGGTGTGACTGGGCTAAAACTTTGGGTGTAAATTATGAGCAACAATTTTAGCTAATGAACATTATAGATGAAAGGTAGATGGTTGTTTTAAAAAAAAAGGAGTAAAAGATCATGCTGAAAGTTTTAAAAGGCATCAGAACCTAATGCACTCCAACAGTCAAACTCCTATTTTAAATAATTTGAACGGATTATCGTCATTAGCTTCTGATATCTGCTGGTTTGTTTTGCTGATACAAGGTTTTTTAAAAGTTTCCAGAAGAAACTAGATCTTTCTTTGCTTGAAGGATGAAAGTTTAGAACTAATCTTTCTTTCTAGTTATGAAACTAACAATCAGATGCTTTAAACCCCAGCACTAACAATGCTTTTGCATATTTTATTTTAGTATGATGCCATCAATTTGTACTCGTTGACTTTGCAGTGAACCACTCAAAAAGGCCTTGCCTAAGTTTTCGGAATTACCAGTAAAAATTATTTTGCATTCAGATTTTGTTCAATTTTTTTCAAGCTAGATTGATAATTTACTTCTTTAAAAACCAGATTGATACTGCGTTTTTTGAGAACATCATACTTTTGATAACCTCTTTGATAAACATCTATTATTCCAGGTTTTTTAATGACTTGCTTTTTTCTTTATAGGTTAGTTTACAAGTTTTTGTTTAACTAACGGCACGTTTTCTCTTTTGATAAAAAGTTTTATCAAAGACATTAGAACTTCTAAAGGACAGCTTAGTACATAATATAAAAAAAACGAATTTTGAAATCGAAGTATAATTTTTTTTTTTAATAAGTTATTTAGGTGCTCCGAGAGACCTTGACGGTTTTATGATTAGTCCCGCAAAATGTTATTTGAACAGGAGGTTAAAGTCTCGTTCTTTGCCAATGATGCAGATATGACATATTTCGGATTCGAACCATACATTAGGTACTTAAGAGTACCTAATGTACATGCGACCAGTATAAAAGTTGAAGATATTGTATAAGTATATATATCATATCGGCAACAGAAGCATATAGCACGTCTACTTTAAAGATTGTTATACTCATGCCAAATATATTCTTTATGTTGTTAAATATTATTTTATGTTTTGAAATATCTGGTTAGATTTAAATTTTATTTCTAAACGTTATTTATTGTTATTATTTAACTGGTTATATTTTTATTGCATTGTTAAACGGTTCTCATTGACAGGATCTTACGATCCTCTTTGAGTCTCCGTGTTCTAATATTTAATGTACAACAATATTTACACCATAATATATCGTAATAAGAACAAAACAAAAAAAAAAAAAAAAAAAAAGATAAGTGTTTGAGAAAGTCAGTTGTATTGACAATAGTTATACTAAATTATACTGCCCTTAAAATTAAAAATTTCGGGGCATATTATGGTCATAACAAAGAATTTAATAAGAATGAGTATTTAATAAAGAGGTTCCTGCCGTCTTTTTATATGCCGTCTAACCCTAATCCTGACAATAAAAGATGATTAAATAAAAGACGACGGAACCGCTTTATTAAATACTCATTCTCAT